TTTATGCTTTTATTCTAATCCTACACATTACAGTTAATCTGTAATGATACCGCTTCGGAGGAACCTGTTGCATACGAGACTCGGCAATTTGTAACCTTGGAAACAATTTTAAATAAAGATTATAAGAGTGATGTCAACTGTGTTTATTCTCCACGCGGGGGGTGGGTTGGGGGCAAGGCGGTGAGGACGGAGTTTCTGGAGAAGGGGGCGAGGGGCGAGGGGCAGGGCCGAGCGGCGGCCGGGGTCGGGGAAGCGGAGGAGCAGCCAGAGCTGGCTCTAAGTGACTCCAGCCCGGCGTCTGGCATCTTTTGAGTTTTTCTTTTTGGGAAATCGCGTGGTCTTAAACCGCGAGGCATAGGGAGAGGGAAAAGGATTTGCAAAACTGCGGAAAACTCAGTGAACTTGAGCTCCTGTGTATCCCAAATTAACATTCAGCCGGGCCCTGCGAGCCTGGATCGCTGAAGCTGCGGAGAGAGAATGGGCGGCTTGCAGGACCCTTAGGCTGCAAGAAGGCAGAGCCGCCTCCGTCCGGTTGCTTTGCGCTTCCAGCTTCCTACTCTACTGAACGCACTGGCAACAGCAGCAACAACCAAAAATTGCCGGCACACCAAAAGCAAAATTAAACATAATTGCTTTTATTTATCTATTGCTTTTATATCATTAAAATATTTTTAGTTACATTGTATAAAATGGCATCCACTCTGATTATTACCTGCCATATCTGTTGATCTGCTCCTTGTGTATTCAGCATAGCAATATTAACAATTAAGAAAAAAGCACATCTTATATATTGTATCTGTCAAGATATGTTACAATTTCCATTAACAAAAAAACATTATTCTTGTTGAAGAAGCTATGAAGCATATCTTTCACAAGCACTTTATTAATAATCATAGTTGTCAGAAAGAATTAGATATGCATAGATTGTAGATGCAAAGGAAATATTAGATGCACAGAATAAAATATACAGTGGGATTCAGGCATAACTATTTTTCTTTTTTAAAGTAAATTTTACGGAGGTGAAAAAAAAACCTGTGCTATTAAGCTTACTTAAAAGATGGCTTTGTTGGTTTAATTATACTGTAGTTATTTTATAAATATGTTTCAAAGGAAGCTTGCCATATTGCATGTCAATGAGGACTGTAAAGAAAAGCTCACAAAAGCTAATGCATACCAAATACTAAATTTTAGTCATTAGCATTCCTATTTATTACAAACTAAAGGAACCTATTAACAGACAAGAATTTCTATTTAGCTAGCATTACAATGTTTGGCTATTAAAATAAAAAGGGCAAAGTATATATGTATTTCCCCCCCCTTGGAACTATATGTTCTTTTTTTCCCCCTAAAAGCTTACGGAAAGATTGGGAGATGTTTCTGATTGGGGAAACTCGATTCTCTGATGGGAATGGGCCAGAGGGCCCAGAACACCTCGCTTTAGTGGTGCAGCTTAATGCTATTCATTCGGAAGCTACAACCGTTCGGCGCTGGGACTCTGCAGCCTGCGGAGTGCTGTGTAGTGCCCACAGCCTGTGAGGGGCCCTTTGTCTTTAATTTGTGTCATGAGCATATGCAAATTATTAATTGTTTTTCCTCGAAGGGAGGGAGTGGGTAGTGATGGTAATACTGCTTTTGTTTGGATATTAAATTTTCCTTAAATGCTCCCAAGGCGGGGATACTTCTCCCAATGCGGATTCCCCTAGTAGAAAATCCCACCGCTACAGTGAACAGATGGGTATTAATTCTAGAAACATGCACATATAGATTTGTATCATTTCAAAAACTTTCTTTGAACAAAGGTAGCATTGCTGCTCTCACATCAGAAGTAAATGAATATTGAAATTTATTTTTTCTGAATGTCAATTTAAGAGGGGAAAAAACTTTTCAGCTATCCTTACTTTTAGAAACTTTGTATTTTGCTTCTTAAAATAAAAGCAGATTTTTCCCCCCTAATTGGGCAGGGCAACAATTTAAGGAACTGAAATGAAATATTTGAAATAAGAAAGGGTTACTATGAATTATGTTAAGTGAGTTTTGTGTATTTTTAAGGGAAAAAATAGAGCTTGTTAAACTCTGCGCATTTGCCAAGTGACTCAAAGCACAAGTTCTTCTGGCCTGACATTTGGCTCTGACAGGATGTATTCTGCCTGCTTGGGGGACTCTTTGCATTAAAAGATTGAAACTTTTAAAGATTCTTCCCTGAAAGGCCCACATGAAAATAATTGGCATCACAAGGAAGGAAGGGAATTTCTGAATCCCTGATTTAAAAATGAAAATCTCTTCATCACAAGTCATTAACATGTGCAGATCTCATGCAAAATCTTAGATTTCAATAGCAAAATGGGCTGTGTGGGGTTGGTGAGGCTAGGTATTCTTTCCCCTGTGACTACCTGGGCAGAAACAAGAGAGGGAAGATGTAATGATTCCTACACCAAACTCTTCCCACTGGGAAATAGTATAAGTTACTTTAGTAGGAAATAAGCTCGGATGCCTCAAGGCTGGCAACTGTAGAGCAAAATGTGAATGTTCTCCGTTTCTCTCCCACTATATCTGGATGCGGCGTCACCTCCCAAATCTCTAAAGCATATTTGATACAGAGGTGGGGAAAATGGCTTTGCCAGCAAAGGCTGCATCTACACAATTGTTTGGATAATTCAGCTCCTATTCCTCCAAATTAACCAGTCTGATGTTTCCTGCATGGTACCCAGATTATCCAGATGGACCCATCCGCTTCCTTCCCAACCTACATTGTTGGTACGACCTTCATTGAATACTGAATCCAGACACTATCAGTAGCCAAGGAGGAGAAGGCTGCTTCCCATGTATTCACACCAAAGTGGTTTAGATCTCAGTGTGAGTGAGAGATAACCCAGTTTTCAGCGCCTTAAATCTCATTTTAAAGAGTAGATTAGGAAAGACTATCTCAGTGATGCAGAGATAAGATAGAGACCCTTTTTTCTAGGAACTAACACTTGTTGGGGAGGAAGATGTACCCAGTTCAGGACAGCACAGAACAATGCTGTTTTATGGGTGTCCTGGTTGGGCGCACACAGGGAAGCATGGGAGAAATCTTAGAAGGCTTCCTGGAAGAGATGGGGTTTGAGCTGAGCATAGAGAGTGTGATTCTAGATGGCAAAGAGTATGACTTCTAAACAAACTTGGTATCCAGGTAAGATATTATGTCAGGTCTGACATAAGGTAGGCATTTAAAAGTGCCTACTTGAATGAATATGTTACGTGGAAGTCTGATAATAAATTCCTCTAAACATTTCTCCTTAGGATGGCCTGCCTGCAGCGTTAACCTGAAATTTGCTTATTAATCTCCCACTTTAATGTATCTTTCCACTCTTTCAAGGACAGGGGAGCTCAGTTTGAGATGGGAATGTCTAGAGCCCATTAAATGATGCCCATTGCTACCATGCAGTGGGTGAAGTTTCTTGCTCAGAGGAGACTTTTCCATGGGCAAATGTTCCCTGAACTGATGTCCTGTTTACATTCTTGGAAGAATGAGGGGATTACTGCAATTCTAAGGAGTTTTGTATTTTAACAAATCTTCCTCTTGTGGTAGCAATTTAACATTTTGTTTGAAACATCCCACAATGCAAAATGGTTAAAGGGGGCTTGTTAGGTTTTTAAATAGAGCAGAGAAGAATCCACTGTAAACAGCTTCTGGATTAAAAACAAGGAAACCTGCTACTGCCACTAATTAGTGCGTAAAGTACCTCACCCAAACCAGCTTTGCTTTTTCTCACTGAAAGACAGAGACAATATTGGCTACCCTTGTCTATACGACAAGGTTTTTGTTTTTGTTCTTTAAAGACAAAACAATAGGAAGGTAGGATTTTACATAGCTCTAGCCTCCAGCAATTACAGGATTCGTGTGATATTAATCAATTATGAACAGTTTCTTTTCACACCAGGGAACAGATGCTTATTAGCTTGAGCTTTAAGACACAAATTTTAAAATTACAGCAACTAAGAAAATAAAGAATACTGGCACAATGAGAAATCTGTACCCATATTGTCTGTTCTTTAGAACATGTTTTTATGCTTTAATAGCTTTTTGGGTCTGGGACACAGCAGAGATTTGCTCTTCAGAAAGTGCCTTAACTGAGTAAAGTGTTGCCAGGCTATATTATGGGTCCTGCCTCAAGCAGAACATTGCACATCTCATTCTCCCTGGAGGATCGCTTCCACTTTTCCCTCACCTCCACCGCTGATCCAGAGATCTGACTTTCATCTTCTTCTCCTTTTTTCTCTCCTAAACATGCCACTGTTTCTTCCTAAACTAAACTTGTTGATGTGAAAGTCAACAAGTTGAGGGTAATTCAATTTCAATAATAAGCAGATGGCTTGTGAGTTCCTGAGACCCAAGTAAAGGCCCTTCCATGGGAAGCACCTAATTCGAAAGGAGGAAACACTAAGAATTAAGAACTCTGCAAGGAGTCTGGCTGAAGAGGAGCTAGCTTCCAACCCCTCCTTCCTGTACCATCCCTCCGAGTTCATCTGAGGGAAGCTCACTTTCCCAAGAGCCCATCTTTTCCTGGTTGTAAATGTGTTCATTTCCAATGTACACAGGCTAAACATATGGCAGAACAGTGTGAAGAGGGAAGTGTGTCCATTAGCACATTGAGGGACACAGTCTGAGATGTACATTCAACAAAGAGCTTCTTGTATCTGAGCCCTGTACCACAGCATTGCACCAATGAAAGCTGAATTGACCTCAGTTTGTGTGGGCAGTGTGCATGCATGCGTGTGTGTGTGTGTGTGTGTGTGTGTGGTATATTTCACAAGGCCAGACAAATTCAGGCTACTCTGTTAAAGTCTCTTGGTATAATGGAGGAAAAAAGTATTAGATGACCTCGTGTGTGTTAAAGAGGAGAAGGAGCTCCCAGAGATTAGAAAATGAAGAGGGGCTGGAATTTTATTTTAATTAGTCTCACATTCCCTGGAGAGCTTTTCTGAGAATATGATCTTCTTTCCCATTTACTTTTCTGCAGCAAAGTCTGGAGACTCACCAAGCTGAGGAGGAAGAGGGGAACATCTCAACTCAAGCTGAATTCTGAAGAACACTTGGCCCCACCTTCCAGAAATCCTAAATCACATAGAGGGAAAGTTTCGGCCAGGTCACCAAGAATGAACCAGAAGCTGAGTCCATTACTCCAATTTTCACATTAACCAGGAGACACATTGAAAATTATTTTCTTGAGTGAGAGACTGAAATTTTGGCTCAAGGGTGTTTCTGTTGGGTCTTCTCTTGATATGGCACGTGAGGACTGCATCCCAGGTCACATCTGCAGCCACTCCCAGATTACACTGCAAGGGAGGGTAGACTAGGAGTAGATAGGGAGTAGAGGGGTCTGCAGACACAGTGAAAGCAGCAAGCTGGTGTAGGAAAACCCGGAAAATATGTCTCAGAGACAGCCAGTGGCTGCACATACAAAAGGAAGGCACCTACCTGGAAAAGAAGGGGTTATGAAGTTCTGCCCAGAGTCACAGCGCGGACGTCCTCAGAAGGTCTCCAGGCTTCTGTAGCAATCTATAGTATGCGTCAGTATGGTTGAAAAAGCTTCTTCTATCAAGTTTAACAACTTTCTGGTGTAACTTCTGAGAGGGCTGATTGCTTATTCATGCGGAAGCAGGACGCCCAGTTCATTTTGCCCGTTTTTGCTACTCTTTGTTGGGTTTGGGAGGCTGTTATGGTAGCTGCAAATGGCTTCTCAAGTGACATTTGCTGACATTCAGTGAAGTACATTTATCAGTATTCGCCAGCTCACCTCTCTACACATGCAATCCATTTTGTTTTGTTCTTCATAGCAAACTCCTTCCCAACACCCGTGCCCTGAAAATGATAAATGGCAAGGTGGCATATTTCTCAAGCTGCACTCAAATGTCACTGTGAAAAATCTTTAATGGACTAAGTGTAGCTTTTCACGTTACAACTTGTCAGGTACTGAGAAATTCTAGAGTTTCTCTTTAATCCACAAGTCTTTGGAACCACACATCTGCAAGCAGAGACTAATTATAAGCTGCACCAGTCAGACCTGGGCAAGCAGAAACCAAGGAGAAAACATCTGATATCAGCTAATTCTTTATTATTATTATTACTATTATTATCATCCTCATCATCATTCCATTTTTGCTCCTTCCTTTCCTACTCAGGATATTTGAGGTATGAGCAATCTGTGACCAGGCCACCATGCAGGCCTATCATCTTCTCATACACCCAGCTTTCTCCATAATGGCTTTATTCTTTTCCTCCAAGGTTCAAAATCACCATGACTTCTCCCCCGCGGAGCGGGGTGGCGGGGGACTGACTCTGAATCATAAATCCTGACTCCCAAATATTGGCCATAATTGGGAAGGTGAGAGGTATCTCGTATGTCTGGGTGGAAGAGTCTCCTTTCTCCCTGGTGATTCATTTTCAGAACACATGTCCATCTTTCCAACGGCTTTGAGTTTCACATCACCACTGGAAAGACCTGCCAGTTTCTTCCTGTGTGCCTGTCCACTGCCATGCTACTCACAGGATTGTGGCTTATGGGCACTCACTCACCCTTCAACATGACTTGTTCACTCCAGTTCTCCCTTTCCAAATGTTCTCAATCCCCTGGTCCATGCCCCAAGGGGGATTCGGCCTTTGCCCACCAGCTATGTTCTGAATGTTTGTGTCTTCCCCAAATTAATATGTTGAAACTTAATCACAAATGTGATGGTGTAAGAAGGTGGGGACTTTGGGACTTTATTAGGTCATGGAGGGAGAACCTCATAAAAGAGGCTGCCTTGCCCCCTCCATCATGTGAAGCATCATCTGTGAACCAGGAAATGGGCCCTCACCAGACAGTGATCCTGCTGGTTCCTTGATCTCGGACTTTTCGGTATCCAGAACTGTGGGATACACATTGCTGTTGTTTATGAGCCACCCAGTTTAAGGTATTTTGTTATAGCAGTCCAAATGGACTAGGCCACCACCATAGTCAGGGAAGAGCTGGCTGATTTGTGCATGTCTGTGCTGTGTCCCAATGAAAGCACAATAATTAATGAACACTGATTCTGCAATCGATGTTTGAAGGTCAAAGGAGTTGGGAAAGGGGGTCTCCTGAAGCCAAAGAAAAGCATTGTACTCCCCAAAACTGTGCCAGCCAGGTTTACCTTTCACAAGATGCTACAGATTGAGATGCATTGGTTTTACTTCTGGCTCTTTAAGCCCCACTCAAGCTCTAATTTTGATATCTCCTTCAAGACGCTTTAGTTTGGGCCCCTCCCAGGCTCCCTTCTGTTTTTGTTCTTTTTTTCTAACATCATCCTTGGCTTTTCTTCTCTTTTAGGTTTGACCTCCTGTCTCTTGGGTTGAGAAACCGTCCGCTCTGACTCCTGGCCTGCTGTGACCCCTCCAGAGCCCCCTGTACAGGTCTTTGGTCACACAGAGACTCAACAATCTAATAATCTAAAATTGTAAATGCCACAATTTGTGTGTGTGTTTATTGTGTCTCAGTTTTGAGTTCTTTTTGAAATCTTTTAGTGATTCCAGAAGGGATATGATAAAGAAAAGAAATCAGTTATACTCCCAGTGGCCAGGCATGGTAGGGCAGAAAGAGTGTTGATGTTCGCTACCCCTGCAAGGGCAGAGGGCAGAGGACCCTAGGTTAACTACCTAGAGATGAGACGGATCCTGGATTAACTCAGGCCCTGGGATACCTGCACCAATTGTTCTCAGCAGGTCGAGACATCACAGAAGAAGAGAAGACATGTCAACTCTCTACCATAGTGTCTTAGCCCTGGAGATACTATTGGAGAGTGACAAGAGGCAGCAAACAGGGTTCTATTCATAGTGGCCATGGTTTCCCCAAGCAGAGACCATATTCAACCAAAGGGACTTCAGTGAAGCTTTTCCTAATCTGTGCTCTGAAATGGCTAAGTAAAAGAGAGCTGTCTAGAGTGTATGAGAATGTCTTTAAAGGCAACCTTGCATTAACTATTGCATGCAGACTGTAATTATGGGCTAAAAATGAAGGCTGTTTTATTTGTTGGGTGAGACCCTTCCAGAGCACCCCCTGCACATGTACACACACACTCTCTCTCACACACACACACCACACACACACACAAAACCAACCCTATCCCAGGGAACCGAACAGTCACAGATCTCATCTGGAGTCCAACCCCTAATCCAGGTGTTGTGATCATCACGTGAGAGATAGCAGAATCTCCACCAATTTTGGAAAGAACTGCTCAAGTGTTTTTTAAAAGAAATAATGGAAAAAATTAAACAGCCAATTGAACAGCCAATAATAAAAATAGGACACGGCTATCTCCTATATTTTGCCATTTATATCCAAAATAACTTATGGACATGCACAAAACATTCATGAAAATAAAAACATATTTGTTATAGCAGCCCAAATGGACTAGGCCACCGCCGTAGTCAGGGAAGAGCTGGCTGATTTGTGCGTGTCTGTGCTGTGACCCAATGAAAGCACAATAATCAATGAACACTGATTCTGCAATCGATGTCCGAAGGTCAAAAATCACCCTGGACCCTGTACATTCTCACCTCCCTCCCTGCCAGCTATCTGGCTCACTGAAGTCTTGACCTCCTGGGCTCAAGTGATCCTCCCTCCTCAGCCTCCTGACTAGCTGGGACCACAGGCACATGCCACCACGACTGGCTAATTTTTTTTATTATCTGTGGAGGCATGGTCTCACTATGTTGCCCAGGTTGGTCTCAAAGTCCTAGGCTCAAGCAGTCTGCCACGTGGGCCTCCCAAAGTGCTAGGATTACAGGCGTGAGCCACCGCACCCAGCCTCCATCATAATTTTGTCGACAGAGCACATGGTTGTTAAACCCAGTAACAGGCTACATACTATACTTGATTAGGCAAACTATGGCTCATGGAACAAATTCATTCTCATGCTACCTGTTTTGTAAATAAAGTCTTATTGGGTCAGAGCCATGGCCATTCATTTATACACATTATCCATAGCTGCTTTCCTGCTACAACCACAAAGCCGATCGACAGAGACCGTGTGGCCCATCAAGCCTGAAATGTTTACTATCTGGCCCTTTACAGAGTTTGCTAATTCCTGTTTGAGATTATAGGGGATGTTTGAATGGTCCAGTAGAGATGACAAACTGATGATTCTAGTGCTAGAGGGGCAAGGCGGGGACGGCAGGAAAGAAATCCACCGGGAGGAAGCAGGCAACAGGTTCCAGAACACAAATGAAGGAATGGGTCTTCACTAGTGAGGACACTTCATCCACTGTAATAAGCAGCAAAGCAGAAAATGAGAACAAATGCAGGCAGGAAAAGGATGGCATTTCTACCTCCTACCTTTTTTTTTTTTTTTTTTTTAAGACTAAGTCTCACTCTTGTCACCCAGGCTGGAGTGCAATGACACCATCTCAGCTCACTGCAACCTCTGCTTCCCAGGTTCAAGCGATTCTTCTGCCTCAGCCTCCCGAATAGCTGGGATTCAGGCATGTGCCACCATACCCAGCTAATTTTTGTATTTTTAGTAGAGATGGGGCTTCACCGTGTTGGCCAGGCTGGTCTCGAACTCCTGACCTTGGGTGATACGCCCGCCTCGGCCTCCCAAAGTGCTAGGATTACAGACGTGAGCCACTGCACTCGGTTTCCTACCCATTGTTTCTATTAGCTTTGTCTTAATGAAGTGTGAAACAAGCTAAAAGTTTCGGTGGGGAGTAATGGAGATTTAAGGACCAAGGGGAAATCGTAGAGAGTGGAGAAATGAGCAAACGAGGACATTTTGTTAGGATGCTTGGGCAGTGCTGTGGTCATGAATTTAACGTGCATGCAGTGAGCAGCACCATGGTGTGACATTCTTCATCAATGTTTGTGGGCTCTGGTGCAAGCATAGAGTGAGTCAGAGGTTGGGTTTAATCATTGCTGGGGTTTTGCCAGGCAAGTACGATAAAGGGAGAGAGAGGTAGTGGACTTAAGTGGGCAAGGGGTGACTAATGATAATGGTGAGTCATGAAATCGAAGCTGGTGAGAAGGGTAATAACGAAAGAGGAAGGTGAAGGACAGTGGGAGAATGTGGTGGAGTCAATGAATGGATTGCAGGTCTCCCTAAGAACAAAGCATTTTCGGAGAATAAGAGAGCTCAAAAGATAGGAGCTCAGACAGTGAGGTGCCTGCTGTCCAGATTCCAGAGGTGGGGCAGTTTCTGGTAATGGCATGGTCTGGGGGCAGGACTGTGGGAGAGGAAGGCTGAGATAAGTGAGGGAGTCAAGGGGGCTAAGACACTGGGAGGCCACCCAGATTGTGACGGTCTATACCATGGAGAGGAAGTGATTCAGGTCTAGGTCCTCAAAAGCTAAGGACTCTGAAGGAGAGAGGAGATTGGTCTTGAAGTAGTAATGGGAACAAGACAGCCCCATCGCACCTCCAGACCCACTGGTTTAGGAGATGTGGGAGATAAAATAACCTCCACCTGACAGGGTGGCAAGTCCTCAGAGCAAATGGGCTTCAGTTATGTGAGAAGAGGAGAAAAGCATGCAGGGAAGTTGCTGAAGCAATAGGAGCTGTGTTGATTTCCAGTGTGCCTAAGTGGAAGGGTTTGGAGGGTTGGAAGACATGGGTAGAACCTAAGCCAGGTTAGGATGTACATAGCTGTGTCAGGTGAGATCTGGGAAAGGGACTGTGTGGCTTGAACTCCTGGGGTTGACCAGGTTGGTAAGGACATGTAGACATAATGGGATTCAGCTGGGAAAGTCTCGGCAGAGAGCAGGCTGGAAGGACTGGGGCTCCAAGACGACCCCAGTATCTACTGCAGCCCAAGATGGTGTGCAGTCAACACGAATTGGGGGTTGAGAGTCTTCTCTGAGTGTCTGCCAGCATAGGCAGCATGCAGGGATGAAGGAGCAGTAGGTGGGGGTCTTTGTCAGTTGCCTGGCCCTTCTGCAGAGGGTAGGAGGGTCACGGTTGGGATTTCTCACATAGGAATGTTTACTGATCATCCCTATCAACATCCAACCCGCTTCCATAAAAATACACAAAACCTGGCCAGCTGCGCTCGTTCATGCCTGTAATCCTAGCACTTTGGGACACTGAGGCGGGCGGATCACTTGAGGTCGGGAGTTTGAGACCAGCCTTACCAACATGGTGAAACCCCGTCTCGACTAAAAATACAAAATTAGCCAGGTGTGGTGATGCATGCCCGTAATCCCAGCTACTTGGGAGGCTGAGGCAGGAGAATCACTTGAACCCAAAAGGCAGCAATTGTGGTGAGCCAAGATCGTACCATTGCACTCCAGCCTGGGCAACAAGAATGAAACGCTATCTCAAAAAAAAAAAAAAAAAAAAGCCCACACACAAACCAGATCACCACAACAGATTCCTCCCTTGATGACCCCCTCCAGTTTCCAGCCCATTTACCTGCTTCCCTTCATCATAAAACAATTCCAGAGAACTAAGGATGTCGTCACAGTCTGCCACCTGCCCCCAACCCTCCCCTAAGATTGTTCTTCTCAAGGACACGCACATCTAGCCACACAGGCCTCTGTTTCTGAACACACTAAGTCCACCTCTGACTCCAGAGCTTTACCCAGGCCCTTCTCTCAGACGGAATGCTCTTCCCTCACATTCCAGAGCTGGCTCCTTCCTGTTCAGTTAGCTCAAATGGCACCTCCTTAGAGAGGCTCTCCCTGAGGAACACATCTAACTTGGCTCCTAAAGTCACTCTACTTCAGATCACCCAGCACTTCTTGCCTTTGGAAATTATGTTCTTCACTTATTTGTTAACTTGTTTATTTTCCATTTTCTTGATCTACAATGTAAACCTAGGGATGCAGGAACCTCATCTGTCTTTTTCACCGTTAGCATCTAGAACATTGCCTTGCCCCAGTAGGCACCCAATAATTTTCTGTTAGTAAAGTTATCCTTTACAATAGAACTCTTTAACTCAAGAACACATAAAGTAAGAATCTGTCTGCAACTAGAAATCTCTTTATCCCTCTACTGGGAGCCCCAAAGAGCATGATAAAAATACAAAATATGCAGGGCCCAGAGAAGAAGGTGTGGGTTAGTCAACCACAAGTTAGGAATTAACAGCTAGCACTAAGGTACGAAATCATCAGCTTAAATCTTCCAAGGGGGTGGAAATCGCAGCTTTTACTGGTATCTACCACCTGTAAGTGAATGAGTTTATCAAGTTCTTTCCTAAGGATAGGTCTCAAGGAGGTGTGGCAATAACTGTGAAGGCATTGAGTATCCAAAGAGTTTGCTATCAGCATTGGAAAGATCACCCTGCTCTTCTGTGGGGTCTACAGGCAAGTAGACAATCAAAGATAAGGGACTTGGGTAGCTGTATGGCATGAGAGCCATTTGAACTTGAGGTTCAAAGAACATAAGCTCCTTTAGTGGTTGGATCTATGTGGATTGATACTTTCAGTTGCTTGCTTAGTTCATAGAATGTAACAGGATCAGGGACCCAGGAACTTTC